GATCTCCATGAGGGCGGCCACGGTCACCATTCATCTGTAAATGTAAGAACAAACATTCATAAGTTATGAGGCAGCACGTGACAAACATTCTCAGCCTTACAATAATATTTGTCAACTCACCCTAACATATTGGTTCCCTATGTTCTCGACGACATACACACCCACGCCAGCAGCTGCACGACGTATTTCCCTATCAATCGTAGCTCGATCTTCAACATTCAATCTCACGGCCTTATCAAAACCATATAGTCCATAGTCATTCACCATTCTCACATCTCACATCATTGCGAAAATAAATGCACTGTAATTAACCATTCACACAAGAGTCCAATTGCAAGCTTACATGTATCCCTAGACCCCTATTCAATGGACATGTCCTCACATTGTGATCTGGTCGTCCACACTTGGAGCAGTGTTTGGGACATTTGGACCCCACACCCGCTTCTTGGACAACAGCTCTCTTCCCCCTTTGAGAGGAATTGTTTACCTTCAAAACAATAGAAAATGAGCACATTAAGGTATTCTCGAATTAATAGCAAAAATACAGCTGAAGGTTAGTTAGGATTATACCCTTTCTTCTCGGGCAGCAGAAGGTGCTTTACAAGATCTCGCGTTGTGGCCTTCACCTCCACAATTTGAGCAACGGATCAAGTTACCTCGCCTACAGACTTCCTCTCCCACTCCTCCACGTTGTGGTCTCGTCTCTAACTCACCAGCGGACTTTTTTCTTTTTTTTAGGCGCCCAGGCATAGCTCTAGCCTTAGGAGGGTGGACTTCATACCCTTGAGCAGTTGGCCACGCTTGTCTACCATCAAGACAAGGCAGCCCTACCTTGTATCCCTCAGACAGGTGCATTGCTCGGTAAAGAGGATGAACGAAATCATTTAGATCTTTCCTTAGGTGGCTGATCGCAGAAATAGTATAACAACACGGGATTCCACTCAGCTGCTAGTACCCACATGTGCATTCTTTTGCACTCAGATTCACATTATACCCTTCAGCTCTCATCCTCATTTCACACTTATCATGTAAAGATTGTCTAGACACACACAACCTAGCAAACTCTTTGTCCTTATCCAATCGTTTCCTAATTCTAGGACAAAGAGAATCAGTAGTCTACATGAGCATCTTGTGTTTAATAACCACCCTATCCATCATGTAGCCCCTAATTCCTTCTAACATCTCTATGATGCGAAACCCCCTATACTTCACAATGCTACCATTCCATGTCTAGCAAATGTTAGACTCAACCTAATCACATTTAGGAACTGTGGAGAGGAATGCTCGACAGAATTTGCTTGGTTCAGCAGCCATGAAATCAGTGTATGGGGTGAACTCAGATCCGTTACCTTGGATTTCTTCCATTTCACAAGTGGCTTTTTTCCAATCCGACTCGTTACAAGCATAAACAACCTTCCAAAACAGTTTCCTAGCCCGATCAGTCTTGTTTTTTGCTTTCCAATTGGCATACACATGTCTGGCACATTTTCGATGCTCAGCCTCGGGAAGCACTTCATGTAGGGCCTCAACCAAACCCTACATAGGAGGTAAATAATACATAAACAATTAGCACCTAACGAGACTTGTAACGGGATATTCATGAACTCATTAAAATAAGTAGCTAACATTACCTTCTGTTGGTCCGAAATCACGGTCCATCCCCTACCATCTCTCATCGACAGCTCTTGATTTACAAGCTGGACAAACCACATCCAGGATGAGGTATTCTCTCCTTCCACGACAACCCATGCTATTGGAAACATTTGGTTATTTCCATCTTTCCCAACGGCAGAAAGAAGCATGCCCTTCACCTCACCCTTGAGGAAGCAGCCGTCTAACCTACACATAGGTCTACATGCAAGCAAAAATCCATCCCTCAAGCATGAGAATCCAATGAACAGCCTTCGAAAGTAACACTTATCACCATTTGGATGTGGATCTACTTCCAGAACAAATCTTCCATCATGATCTCTTTTCATTAACTCTGAAACATAACTCCGGAGACCCTTGTATTCATCAACCAAGGACCCGCTTAAAAGCTTAATAGCTGCAACTTTGGCTCTGTAACAAGTTCTCTTCTTCACATCCATGTTGTGTTTAAACTTGATCTCGGCCATAATCTGATCTGGTGCCTAGGTAGGGTTAATTCTGAACCTTTCAACCATGTTAGAAGCTATCCAGTTGGCGGTTATTTGATTAACCCAGAGACTTCTTGCACATGAATGATCTAGCCCTACTTTTTGGATCATGAAGCACTTGTTCCTTCTAAACCAGCTAGCATAAAGTTTCCATTTGCAGTTGGGATCTTTGCACCTAACCTCCCTCCTAGTAGGGTTACTCCGAAGCCATCGCAGACAAGCACCAGCTGTCACAGCATGCCTCACCACAACATCTTTGAACTGCACCACACTAGCAAACTTCATCTTGCATACAAACCTCAAAGCTTTGTGATCACATGTGGGATCATAATGTGGTGCGCCATCATCCAGATCACCACCTGCCTCGTCTGACAAGTTTGGCATGACGCGAAGAGACTCCTCAGATCCTCTGTAGCTCGAATGTTGTGAAGTCTCTCTGTGATCTTGCTGAGGCTGCTGTGGAGGTGCCTCTGAAGCCTGGTGGGAAGTGTAGTGTTGTGAGTTATGAGGTGGTTGTGGAGCTGCATCATCTCCTTCATCCTAACAACTTCAGTTGCGTCGTCCTCAAACTCCTCAAGCTGATCAACCTCCTCCCCATCGACAGCCAACCTAGCATTCACCTTCCTTCTCTTCCCTTCCCCATAGGAACGTAAGGCAGCCCTAGCTTCGTGGTACTCATCGTCGGATGTCATGGCATCCTCAGAGTCGTAAACATGGTAGATGTCTCGTGCAACGGATGCAGCTGCATCACAATCTGCCTCCATTGATATATCTTGACCACCATTCTGATTTGGATCATTCTCGTCCCAAGCATCTGACATCTGGGCAAATGAGGTTTAATTGATTAGCTACTAAACTAAAGCCCTAAGCTTAATTAAATAAGCATTAGTTACTAATAGTATAAACAAATCACTACCAGACAAGCAACACAGCAACATCCATTAAAGAAATCACGTTAGGTTCTGACAATTTCAAAGTAATGAATTCGTCACGCTACATTGACGGTTCTATCCACATATTTCAGCTTCTTACCATATGTTGTAGGGGCAATCTCGTGACAAACAGATTCTTGTGGTCCCTCCAAACCCTTGTTGTGTCGCTTTCCCAACTTTACAGCTTGGTTATTCCTATAAAGGAGCAATTTCGGATTAGGGTTCCCACCATTCACATCTGTCCACACAAACAGAGGTGAGAGTTACAGAAGCGAGGGGCAAGGAGTAACAGAGGCGAGGCAGAGGAAGAGGGGAGGATTACTTACCAATAACAGATTAGGGTTCGAGCTTCGTTTCTGGGTTTTTTTTTTACCGGAATCAATAGTTTCGACCTTCGCCGAGAAAGATCGATACAGTCCACTTATCCTCTTCACCGTCGACGACTTAAAGCGACGTCCGAGCTTGCTATTAAGCTGGTTGATGGTGAGCCGCCACCTCTGTGTTCGTAAATTGAGATGGGTATGGAGGGAAGTTCGATGACCAGATGATAGAGGCGAGATGACCGGATGACTATGTTGGTCAATTCACGGTCATTGACGAAGAGAATCGAGGTGAGAGTGGGGATTTAAGGTTTCTGCTGGGTCTTCGCGAAGAGGAATGGAGAAGAACGAAAGGGGCATCTGTTGGGTCTTCTGCGAAAAAGGTAAAAATTTGGTAAAGTAGGGTAAAAATAATTAATGAAAATAATTAATTCATTTCCATCGTGGAATACACGTAGACCAAATTAAACGAGGCCATTTGGGTTCGTTTGTCCAGTCAGCAGGCGTTATGTTTTCTGACTTCTGTTACATTATTGGACGGAATGGCTATTTCTGTGTATTTCTCAGAATCTGGCTATATTTGTCACAAAGTGCAAAGTTATGGCTATGGAAGTGAATTTTGCCTACTTTCCCCCCCCCCCACTTTTCCTTTCACTTTCCTCTATAAAACAACATTTTCCCTCCTTTCTAAATTTTCTCTTCCCTCTTTTCCCTCCCCTTCAAATTTTCTCTCCTCTCCATTTTCATCCCCTCCTTCGAAAACAGAGTGTTATGGTTTACGTCCTCCTAGTTATTAATTAACTAATAATATTTTTTAAGGGAGGTAGGGAAAATTCTAAGGGGATAATTATGGTGAAGACAAATATTATTATGAAGTGTAATGAAGGTCAACTCGTGAGTCGATCTAAATGAACTCAAATATGGCGAGGAAAACGGGTGCCACACACCCACCGAATTGACTCGTAACAAGATTTTTGGGCTCACAACATCATTTTTCTCTTTAGTTTGTGAATTGTGCCTTTTTTCGGTTTTCCCCTTCACCACCCTACTTTTCCACCTATTACCATTTATATTTTTTATTTTGAACAAAAGAAGAAGAAAAAAGGAACGCCCGTTTTATTTTAACAAAGAGCAATGGTAATAGGTGGAAAAAACCAAAAATTTTAAGTGGTCTATGCTGACTTGGCAGTGACATGGAGCGTTGACCGTCAAAGAAAACGGTCAAATCTCGAGTTTGGCCAATTTCGTAACTTTGATGCATAGTTGAGGCCATGATGTTATCGATCGAAAAGATTGACTAGAATGTTTAATTTGTGAAAAGATTGTGTCATACAAATATATTTACCTATTATTTTACCATCACATAACCAATAAAATAACAAATCTATCACACTTCCCAATATATTTTTTCTTCCCACTTTTCCTTTTACTTTCCTCTATAAAACAACATTTTCCCTCCTTTTTAAATTTTTTCTTCCCTCCTTTTTCTCCCCTTCAAATTTTTCCTCCCCTTCATTTTCATCCCCTCCTTCGAAAACAGAGTCTTAATGACTCTGAAATGCAGTGGTCATTTACGTAATTCACTCTTAATTGATAAATTCGGGGGGCCAGTGGCGACCACCGGAGAAAGTTTGGGCCAATTGGTTGGACACTGACTTTACTTTGGAAGACGAGAAATAAAACGAAAGGCGGTGGTCGGATTCCCGATCGATCCATCCGAATTCAATACTGAACCGGGAAAAATCGAAGAAAACGAAGAGAAGGGATCGGGAAAGCGCATTTTGCAGCTGTTCACCGTATTGAACGGGAGTTAAACGGCGCAAGGCCGAAGCTTTTTCTAGGGTTTACGAGAAAGATTCATTCATTACCTGGAAACTTGGAAGATTGGTAGCTTGCTGCTGTATCTTTCGCCCCCTCAAGTTTTCAATCATCGTCGTCAGCGAAAACCACTCCTTTCACAGCCATGACCGAGGTATGTAATACAATTCTTCGTCGTCTCCTTTAATTGTTGATGTTTATTAATGGGGAATTTGATTTTGGGAACTTGGTTTGAAACTTTCGATTCAGTACTGGGTTAGCCAAGGGAACAAATGGTGCGATTTCTGCAAAATCTTCCTCTCCAACAATCCTTCCAGCATAAGGAACCACGAGCTAGGGCAGCGCCACAAGGACAATGTCGCGAAGCGGCTAACTACTATGCGCCAGGAGAAGGTTGCCAAGGAGAAGGCCGTGAATGAAGCCGCTCGTGCTCTCGAGCAAATTGAAGCTGTAAGTTTGTCCTTTCCCCAACTCATATCTCATCAATGTTGGAGGAATTGAAGTGGTTCATATATTTTCTTACAGTTGGGAACTTGGGTGGACGTTTTCCATGGAATTTAGAAGTGGAATTATAGAGCGAAATTGTTAACTTATATTTTGGTTTAGTCTATGATCCGTATTTACAGCAAAACAAATCCAAGTTTGAGGATGGCTGCAGGCACTTGGCTTGGAGCAACTTTAGCCATGAGCCAGAGTTGAGATACTGAGTTAATCATTCTTGTTCAACTCCCTGCTTTCTCTTATTATAGTTCAGTGTGTTGGCTGCTTTGAACACTTTCTGCTTTCTGCGATTAGATGTTATTTTTCCTGCAATGAGAGTTCTCTTGGTAGTAGTCAACTAGGAACGATGCCTCACTTGAAACCTAATATCATGTCTCTTACTCTCCTTTTAATGTATATTTGCTTTAATTTGTTTGTCAGTAATGCTTATTACTCGTTATTTTGTTTTGACTACCAGAAAGCTAAACGTAGCTATCAAAAGGATGTGGCAACCTTGAAGGAGGCCGGTGATGCCCGTGCACTGGATATCCTAGAAGATAGTAAGGAAAGTAAGTACACAGAGTCTTTTCCTTTCAGAAACTCGTTCATTCATTTGGCGTTGCCCCTAGACTGATAGTTTAACATTATTGATCAATATTTCTCTTTAGGATAGGCTACTCTTTAACTTTGTATGTTTTTTTATGAGTTACTGCAAGATAGCTCTTTACACCCTTCACGTAAAAGCAAGTTAATCTCGGATTGGGATTAGACTTGGGAGTCTTTGCACCTAATGATTATAGGTGCCCTTCAGTTCCAGAAACTATTCACAAGCAGTGTTAAGTGATGGAATGATTGACCCCTTTCCATTTCATAGATTTAAAGATACCTTTAATTGCTAGACTCCTTTCCTTACTATCCGGATGATTGATTCCAACCCCTATTCGCATTCCTGACATAGTTATGGTTCTTGTTTAAGATCAATTAATCCTGATGTCTGTGGAAGTTGGCTCCAGCAGAAGAAGATAAACCAAGACAGACGTTTGAACCCTATTAAACCCATGAAATAAGTGAGTTATGTCCTTAAATTAGAACTTTTCTATCTAACTTTCTAATCAATGAATTAACCGTGCACGGTGCACATACTCTGGTGATCTGCATTCTGGTTCTTGCATGTTTTAAATAGTCCTCTGTCGATCAGCCATGGATATTATCTTTGTGTTGCTTCAAATTGACAATTATCTTTATGGCAGAATGGGCATTCGACAGTACTTCAGGCTACTACTACAATAACGATAATGGTTTGCATTACGATCCAAATTCTGGCTTCTATTACTCTGATGCTATAGGTATGTGAAAACTTCTCGTAAATGTGACAATTCACTCTCCAGGGTATATGTTTAAATTTTTTTTCTTACTTGGTGTTATGGCACAGGCAAGTGGGTAACACAAGAGGAGGCGTATGCTGCAGGTAAGGCTTCATCAGACGGCAAGCCCCGAATGTCTTCAGTCTCGATGCCAATTTCTGTAAAACAGCAAACCAGTCCAGTTCCAAGTGGCCCACCACCCGGTCCAGTTGTCTCAGCATCCTTAAACCCCACGAGATCAGTCAAAGGTAAAACTTCAGCAGTCACTGTGAACAAGAGAAAGAGAGAAGAGAAGCCAAAGGTTTTATCTCAAGAAGACAAAGCTGCACTTAAAGCAAGGGAGGCTGCTAAAAAGAGGGTCGAGGATAGAGAGAAAGGATTCCATGGCCTTTACGGCGGCAAACGATGATTGGAGCTCTGCACAACAACATCCACCTCCTGAAGATTTAGGGTATGCCTTCAGTCTTTGCTAACATCTCAGAATCTATTAATGCCTCTGCTCATCTTACTGCCTTGTTTTCTTCTTGTAAGTTGTAACGCATCCATTCTCCCCTTATCTTGCAATCTGTACTTGTACAAAAATACAAAGAGATTGTGTTATTCCGATTGAATCTTCAACAGTCCATTGTTTGCTGCCACGATCGTGCTTTGATTGTCCTGTGATGGACTAGAATTGATGATCACTGTTATGATGCATATACATTATATGTGTATTTTTCTCTTCCATTTCAAGCGAGTGTTCCCACTTGAAAATAACAGGTCTCGTTCTGAAAACTGGGTCACTGTGGTTTTTTTACTGGTGTGCTTGTGTGAGCAGTGAGTGGAGTATTCAGAGGTTGACTTGGTCGCCTCTTTCACAAGTCACAGAAGTCTGCAGACTGCGGTCATCAGAAATGGAAAGGGTGGATGGATTTTTATGTGAATGGCGTCAGTATGTTGTTTGGGCTTTAATTTAAGTTTTTACGTCGACCATTACGTTTTGAGCAAATTATAAAATACCGATGGCACCTAATTCTTGGCAGCCCAACGTCACTTTCTTGCACTTTCTCCATCGCCTACGGCCAGCTTAACCCAAAGTGTTCACATTTCTGGTTGGAATGTGCAAAAATTGCAGTCGTCGTTCTCTTTGTTTTCCAACTAAACGTGAAGGATGGATCATAGGACACCAAAACCTACTCCACGTAAATAAATTCCTTTGACCTGTGTTCGCCCCCACCTCTGCACAGTATAGACTTTATGGTTGTAAGTTGTAGCCCTTCCCTTTCTGGGCGTTTGAAGATAGAATTTTGATGTAGCAGTTCGTAGGGAGGTTTGAAACTGCCCGTGGCCTAGCAGCTGATCTTCGTCCATGTCGAGCGATTTTTTCGAGATAAATAGATAGTTGGTCGTCAGCTCCAGTGTGGTCTGAGGGTGGATACGGTAGGCGGCCGCTGTACTTTGTTGATGCTTGTCATTAGTGTCTTCTTTGAAAGGCGGAGTTTTTTTCCTTCCGTGCTCCTGTTTAAGAAGACGGTGCAATAAGATAATCCAACCAACTAAATAAGATCGAAAATTGCGCTTAAAATCATACACGAGTTAGTAATACAGTCCTGGGTTTGACACTCAACTTTAGGAGTACCAAAATCGAAATAAAATTGACAACCAAATACAATAAGACTCGAAATTTTGTCCATCTATCGAATTTGTGACCATATTGATTGTTTTCTCTTCAAACTGAAATAAGATGAAGGTAAAAGTTATTGTTTTTATAATGTCTGTAATAATATGACCCTACTTTTTTGACCGGTTTTTCCTCCTACTCCATGACTTTCCAAGCTGATGATGATATATAGATGTTCTGAAGCTCTCTTTGTCGCGCCTTTCACTATCACACGCCACGCATATAGCTAGAGGTGCAATGCATGCATAACAGCATAAGAAATGAGAGAGAATAGTGTTTTTTTTTTTGGCGCCTCTTTTGGTCTTTAGATAGATAGATAGTGCAGTAAAAAAGTCTGCCATCCGCCCACCCAACATGAAAAAGAATTTAGGGGTCGTTTCTTCGTGAATTTAAAAACGTATTTTTTCAATTTAAAAATTGAAGGATTTATCACGTATTTAAGATATTTTGGATTTGTAACAATCCTGTGTTTGTTAAGATGGTTTATCATGGATTTAATGGTTTGGAATTTAGAACTTCAAAATTATCTTGCAATTCTTTTTTATTTGTTTGTCATGTTTATGATATGAACAAAAAATTAAGGACAATATGTACTAATAAGTATAATGTTGTCACAAAGACAATAATAATAAACAGGAAAATTCCCTTTAACTTTAACGTGATATATATCGATTGCCAATACTTTTCAAAAGTAACATATAACAACATATACTAAAATCGGGCGAAAAAAAGAAACTAGAAGACAAGAAATGACATAAAAAAATCTAACTCATGTTTGGAGATTAATTTAATATTTATATTATTTCCTTGTTGTTAATTAATTGATTAATTATAATGTACAATAGGTAAATGAGGGACAATCTTGAAATATTAAAGTTCGTGCGGGTATATGGGTAGAATTTCATCATGAATTTATGGCATGTTCCAAATCCAACATCAATATGTGTGATTTACAAATCTGTGGAGTCCTCGGATTTGGACACTTAAATCCGTAGACCCCAACAAATTTGGTCTCTAAAAGTGTGCAAGCAAACAATGGATTTTTCTTAAATCCATGATGGAATAGATTTGGGTACCAAATTCACAAAGCAAACGACCTCTAAATCGATGATGGATTAGATTTGGGTACCATACCAAATCCATCATCCAAATCCACGAAGCAAACGACCCCTTAATCAAATATGAGGTAGAAAAATTAGTAAAATCTAATTCTGCCTAAGTTTGGCCCGACTTTTAGAAGTGTTTTTCAGCTTCAAAAGCTGAAGCAGGGCCGAACACCTCTAAAAACTCGCTTTTTGAAAAGACAAAAAGCTCTTTTGTATAACATATAAGCATAAGCTCCAATTTGAGCTTATGCGAAAAGCTGTTTTGAAAATACAAGATTATACTTACCATATTTTAATTTTATTTCAGGAAATATAATTTTCTTTAATTTACATTTTAAAAATAAAATAAAATAAAATATAAAATCATGTTATTTAATATAAAAGAAATCTAACAAGATCCATTTTGACTACTTTTTATTGTGTAAAATTTTAATTTTATATTATAAATCAATTATAGTCACTTTACACAAACTCTCATATTAAAAAGCACTTCTAAATACTCTTATGGATACTCTTATGGGTTATCTGGATATTAATTATGTGCTATTTGGATATTATTCTGTGTTGTCTAGATATTAGTTTGTGAATTTGGGATAATAGTTGATTCATGGTGGATATCAGTTAGCAAACTTAGAATACCCGTATGTGCACTCTAGATATTTTAGTAATTGGATATTAGTTTAGTTCATATATTTTGGATATCAGTTAGTATCTGCTAACTAATCTTCAAGTTAGCAGATTAACGGGTGAATTACACAATTGGTCACCCGAATTACATAAAAATTTCACATTTGCCACTCGAATTACAAACCTTGCTTATTGGTCACTAACTGTACGAAACATTTCACCGTAGCCACTGGCCGTTAGCCTCTGTCAGACTCCGTTAACGGCGTCAGATTTTTTATGACGTGACAAACGGAAACTCTGACTGGGTAGACAAAAAGGTTGAGTCATCCCAGATACCCGACCCACCAAGGCAGCCGACGTGGAAAAGGACGGAGCCCACTATATTTTAGTTTGATTTAATTTTTTCTTTTTACTTTTGGGAAAAGAACGATTCCCCTTCTTCTTTCCTCTGGTCGCACGATTCTTCTTCCTCTCTTTCTTCACTCCTGTAGAGCCTGCAAGGAGAGCCGGTCGGTCAATCGAGTGCAGGGGAGGTGCGGGTGATTAAAAAAACCCAATCTTCCTTCTTCAGCGCCGATGAGCTCAAGATTTTGACCGAGCGGCGTTCGAATTCCCAATCGGTGTCGTCGGATTCCTTGGAGAAAGCTGCCGTCTGCTCCGGGCGACGGGACTGACCAGTTGTGGCGGCACTTCCGGTGCCCTAGCCGTTGTCGTTGCCTCATCGTCGTTTCCACATGAGGCAGCAGTCTGCGGGTTCTAATTTGGGGCAGGGTCGTCCCCTCGTGTCGCCCGACATAATCCCGTTCTCTTCCTCCTAGTAGGGCTCCGACATCGACTCTGTTTTCATCTTTCATTTTATCATTTCCCTGTAATTTTAATTTTAGGTTTAACTATTTTTCCTTATTATTGTTCACTTCTCTGTGGAGAATGAACCAAACCAGACTTGCAGGAAATGCAGATTTTCAAATATTTGGGTAGCTCCTTCCGTCGGTTGCTGGGAGATTTCAATGGCGGTTCTGTGGAGAGCCGAGAAGGGGAAAAATTTACGAAACAGCTTGTGGATGAGCTCCTCGGCAACAAGATGATCTCTTGGCAATTGATCAATGAACTAAGAAATTCTTACTTCCTTGAAGAGGAGCTCTTCTCTCAAAAGTAAAGAAAAAATTAAAGCAAACTAAAAAACAGTGTGCTTTCTCCTTTTTTGGGTCGGGTGCCTTGATGGTTGGATTTTTAGGTTGACTCAGCCTTTTTGTCAGCCCAATCAGAGTTTTCGTTTGCCACGTCATCAAAAATCTGATGTCGTTAACTAAGTCTGACGGAGGCTAACGACCAGTGGCTACGATGAAATGTTTCGTAAAGTTAGTGACCAATAAGCAAAGTTTGTAATTCGGGTGGCAAATGTGAAATTTTTATATAATTTTGGTGACCAATCATGTAATTGACCCGCAGATTAACTTTCCCCCGAAAATACATATAGCACTTGGATAAAAGACGTCCGAATCGTCAAATATGGTGGACTCAAACTCAACTGACGTTACTCCGAAATAGTGATATTTTTATCACAATTCAAAGTCATTGATTCTTCTATATATGGCTTGAGTTCTTTTTTCTTTTCTATCTAATGAATCTATCACAGTGGAGTTTTTCACTTTAGGATTAGATAAAATACAAAGACTAGTGTACTCTTATTAGTTTGTTAATCTGTCCATCTTTCTCCTTTTTACTTTTAGCAAACTCCATAGCAAAAAGGAAAAAATTCCACAGAAAAGGAATCGTAAAAACTTATAAGTGGAATGGGAAAGTGAGAGGGATTGGAAATCATTTGTAGATGTAGTAATTCATGTGAAAGTATCACTTTCTTTTATTTACTTTTCTGATTTGCATAAAAATGTTTAATCAGAATAGGGAAGTGGAGGCCTTCGAGTAAAGAAAAGAGAGGTAATTGGCATGCCGATGCCTCCCTTTTCCCTACACGAGGATTATGTGCCCTTCAAAAGCTAAGGCTTCACACTTTGCCGACGGCCGTCTCTTTTATCGCAAAATATATATGACCGTCTGGTTAATACACTATTTAAGAAAATCTCGTTTGACATTCATTTCACTTATTAACGAATCTTGTTTTAACTATATTTTGTCTAGTTGGTAAGACTTGTGAGTCCGTTGGACTTAATACTTGTTGAGAGCTCAACTCGTAAGCTGACGACTCACAATTGAAATACATGTATCTTGTCACAAATTATGTGTCTAACCTACATGCTCTAGGTAGTTGAAAGTCCATTTTCAAGAAGACGTTAGGCGGCATAGGCGCTATCTAGCCGAGGAGGCACCGCCCAGCACCCAGGCCGATTAGTAGTTGTCTAGGCGAG